GCTGGAAAGTAGTTTTTCTTTTATCAACGAGTTTGAACGATCTGCTACACCTTCAATACTTGGATCCAGCTGTTTTCAGCCAAACCGGTGGAGAAGCTGATTGGATTTCAACTCCAATTTCATCCCTCGAACGAATCGCAACGGGGCTTTGTAATTCTGACCACTAATGAATAAACTGATCGGACTGCTCCTGATGTTCTGCTTTTGTATTTCGCTGAATCACAAATCCACGGTGCCGACGACAGTATACGCATACCAAAAAAGGCTTTCTGGGAAAGACGTATTCAGATAAGTCTACAAAACTGCAACAGACTTCAGATGAATGAAATCTTACACGTTAAATTCTCGTCTTTTCACTGTTCTTGTCCTACCGGTCCCTGTTTGTCGCTATCCTACGCGTTTCGGTTTGACCTCGCTTCTTTGCATGTGGTCATCCGATATATTCCCTATTGGGAATTCGAACAGATGACCCATTGAACTTAACATCTGTCAAATTCGGAGGAGACTGATGTAGACTGAAGTTCACACTACCAAGAGAGAGAGAGCGATTAACTTGGAGATTGATCACGCGAATGAGAAATAGACGGAAAACAAAATGCAAAACTCTGAGGAAAATAGGAATGTCCACACGGTTGTATTTTCATTGCTTAAGATAAACTTAATGACGGGAAATGTGTTTCTGGAGCACTGGGGAAAATGGTATTCATAACTGGAAACTTCCTTTGTCTTGTGTTACATACACATATATATATATATATATATATATATATATATATATAGTATTCAGACAGCTGAAGAATGCAAACAATCTAGCTAGCTGTTTAGGTACTTTTGCCATTGAGGAAATTCCTTGGAAAGTTATACATGCACGTGACACGCGGACTGGTTTCTACTAAATGAATTCTCTGAAAATATTTCTGTCGCATGAAACACAATCAGCATTTAGGTGCCTTTGGTAGAGCGCAAAAGTGATGAGCTATTTCACTGGCATATTTCACATCATGAAGTAATGCTGATGTGATCGCAACTCCGTATAACAGTTCTAATGGTTTAAATGAGCCACAAATAAACATTTTCGATGGCTTTATTCTCCAAGGAATTTCTGGTTTTTGACTGTGAACAGATTATCATCTCATCAGAGCGTACACGACTGAGGGTGGGGTGGGTGAAGTAACGTGGATTACCGAGTTTGCAGTCGCACCACTTCTTGTTGACCCCGGGGGTGAATTTGTTCTGTATTTATCCCCTGTGTTGATGTCCAGTAACGAACAAATCTGAGGTCACGAATCAGGACAGGGTCGGGTTGATTCATCGTGATGGGATTAGGTGACTTAATGAGCTTTTCGTTCCTTCGATTGGGGCTCGCTTTGGTAGCTGCCGGATTTTTGTCCTGAGCTAATGTTATCCCAACAGTACCGTTATCGTGGTTATTTTGTTCTGAGGTAGCAGATTACAATTTGGTTCGTGTGTGGAGAACATCGACGGGAAAGTTAACAATAGGGAGCAGTTGCCACACACAGTTTCTCCTCATGTTTCGCTGCATTCTCTATTTGCCATGACGGGGGTTTATGAGAAAAATACGCAGTAGCAAACAAGCCCGTTTGCGGTGATTCATCTACAGGCAAATATATTGCAATTTATATAAAAACGTTTAGTATGGAAAGATAACTTAATAAAGAATGAGAAAAAACACTTTCCATTCCCAATGAAGTTGTTAATACTGTGTTCATCAAGCGTGCCCACTGGTTGAGGCCATCGATGGCGCATGACGAGCTGATTATGTCGTGTGTGATGGAGATTGAGTGTACTTGCGAATTGCTTAAGTCAGCATGAACGACGGGGAGAAGTTATGTACGTGGATTTCGATCGCTTCCAAACTGAGTTACAGTCGCTTTGGATCGACCGCAGTGAACTTAATACAGGGATAGTAGCGTGTCGGCCACCATAACTACGTGGTTCGATCCCACTGGGTTTGAAATGATCAAATTGACAACAATCCTAATCATCCCACTGTTTAGCCAAGTCGGGTGGTGTACGCTAGCTGGTCGGTCGAATCGACTGTAAGTATGGCTAATATACCTCGTTTCCCAGGAACAGGGAAATAAGCACAAACACTAAGAGATTGTAGTAACAGGTAATTTTTCCTTGGGTTGAAAGCGCAAAAGCGGTCTAAAGATGAACACAATTTAAAACTTTCCTGTACGAGCTGTTCGTTTTCCCCAGCTTAACTAAGCTTACGTGTAACCATCTCAACCTTTGTGTCGCTGTCAAAAGGTATTAGATAAACCGGTTTCTTCTGAATGATAGTAATGCTATATCGCAACCGTTGACGCCCCCGAATGTTGCCCCCCGAATCATTCTGTGCTTGAGTTTATAAGGAGAACCCACCGAATAAATCGCAGTTCACTGTCAATAGCATTGGGTGAAACTCGGCTGTCAACAACGAATGACTTATGTTGTTAGTCTTCACCTTGGATGCACTTTTGAGTGAGAAAGAGAGAGTAGGGAAAATTTATTTGTTTGCATTCACTTGTTGGAAATGGATCAAAGCAAAACAGAATGATTTATCTTTTTTATCAAGTAAGCACCATTGGGTTTTGCAACAAACCTCACCACACCTCAAGGAGCAAGCATATTTTTGACGAATGAAGCGCACATTTTGTACAGCAATGGCTCTCTAGTTACAATACTTTATGCTTTGGTCAAGGTGTACGAGAAGAAAGAAGTGATTGAAGTCTCATGCGGCAGTTATATGTAAAAAATATGATCAGTTAGCAGCCATAGATCGGGATAAGGTGTTTAACGAAAACCCGATTGATGATGTCAATGAATTTCATTAATGTTTCCATACATCAAACCTGTATATAGCACAAGCAATGTTATCAGTGTATCAATCTCAAAGTGGAAAACCTAAGCATAAAGAATATCCCCGGAAGCATACGAAGATTTTGGACTTAGAAATATTTACGTATTGTGCAACGCTCATCCTCATATTGGGCAGTTGTAAGTCAAGTAACTCAGGGATTCTGTGATCTGAAACGGATTAACGTATGGGTATCCATCTCATGTTCAAGTTTTATCTCCAGGGCCATAGCATATATTTATCTCGCTTTGTTTATAATAGTATTATTCATATATTCAGGAAAATAATTCTAGACAAATATATTTAAATCCAGAATAATTATTCCACTACAGATCAGACTCAATCGCGTTTGGAATCACACCCTGATACATCAAAGATGAAATGGGAACACAAAAACGGTAAGGAATCAATCCCCGGGAAAGTGCATAAAATGATGATCTGACGCGCTTTTGGTGGAATTGAAACGCACCATTTTCAGTTCATATATGCACTGCAAACGAGCAGTTTCTTACTATTTAGTTTGGATACAAAGATAATCAACTACTTTTAAGTTCTTTTCAAAAAACCGTATGCATTGCATCGCGCACCCTCACAGTCAATTCAGGTGGTTTGCACAGAACTGTAGGAAACCAAAATGTACGCTCAACTAGGTGTAATAAAAAGGTGTCACTCGGGACCTGTTTAAATGCTTGTGAGAATTAATGTAGTTGAGATCATCATGTTGTACTGACAGCTACTTCACTTTGAAGTAAAACGTGCAACCGGCCTTGTGACTTTTGAAGTCTGTTTCGTTGCTTTATAATAACAGTTATAATAACAGAAAGATATTGACGAATGTATCATCACGGATGTAGTTTATACCAATCTGTTGCATTAATTGGAAACATTTTTACAAATTTCATATCTCATTTCATTTGTTCGTAACACTACGAAATTCATTATTTAAACCTCTTACTCTTTTTATGCTCATGATATGAAAGGAAATACTACCTATACATGCGTACGGATTGTCCATTTATTCGTTGGGGTTGTAGAATTCGCTCCACACCTGTGGCACCGGCGATGATGATCGAATGGGTAAGGTCATCAAAATAGCTACGTGGAGGTTTGCAGTTCACAACTGGCCACCGCCCCNCCCCCCCCCCCCCCCCCCAGGTTCCCAATTAGCTGCACTTCTCCAGGCAGTCGTTGTTTAGTCGCATCCCCTTCCTGAACTTTGAGTGTGCATTTTTATACTCATTAGAGAAAAAGATGAAGTAAAAACGTTAAAAAATAAAAATCGCCGCTTGGTTTAGCATTGACTATGTGTGGACCAAATTTATCCGGGAACAAGAGTGCCTTATGAATGTCTATGGCGATGGTGCACACGTTAGGACCTAGCAAGAAGGCCTCAAAGCCTTAGATCGAAGACTAAATCAGGATGGTCGCCAGAAGATTTCTCCAGCACAAACACGAAACATTTAACTTCATTCTGTTCACAATTAAATTGCATGGTTTTCATCTAAATATCTTTTGGCAGTCACATTGTATTTGCACACAGTTCAACATAATTGAAACACAATATTCTCCATTGCCCATCAGTATCCGCAGATTATTTCATACGATTAGGCTTTCCTGATGGCCTTTGACGCTGGTTATTTTAATTCTGTCAAAATAAGGAATTTCATTCAAGACCATCGGCTGCTAATCGCCGAAATTAAGAGCCGACTGGAATGTTCATGGAATACAAGTTAATTGGTGACCTAAATTGTTTATTGCATCTCATAATCGAAGTTGGTTGTCCATTGAAATCACAAGCCTTTCGATTAGATGTGAAATACACTGAGCGTCATTTCGAACGGATTAATTACAGTTGAAAAGCAAATAATAATGATAGAAATACATAGGATTATATGAAGAAACTGTTCACCTCAAGATCTGCTAAGGGGGGGGGAGTGCAGCCCACCTAGGATAACATGGGGAAATGGTTGGGTAAAGATAAGCAAAGCTGATTAATTCAACTCTATTTGGAATGGAGTTCTACTCCACTGATTAACCGTTTGTTCCTTCTTGTCTTCCGCATAACTAAGCTTAGTAATTAAACCAAATGATCCTTGGAGCATGACTTGAGAGAAATATACGAGATTAACTTATTTTCATGCTTCAATTAAGTGACGTTTGCATGAACTATAAACTGTATTTGTTTTTCTCTCTCCTCAGTGGACACCACGAACTGTACAGCTTGAATGAGATGCCCTACTCGGTTGGAACGAGTTACTCATTCATTTCAAACAATTTGCGGTGTGGCACTGTGGATTCTGTTATCATTCCTATGCCTCAACGCGATCAAATGTTGACCTCAAAAGTGATCATTCCTCTGAAGTCGGCTCGTGATGGGTCCCATTCTCAGTCTACACTAATTGGTACGGCAACAGATTGGGAAATAAAATGTAACCCCAGAGGACCGGCAGAACGTCGGCTGAGGACAGCCTCCACATTGAACAGACTGCGCAGTTCACTTAGCAGTGACGCCGTAAGGCTGGAGTTCATGTCTACCTCCGCCCAAAACGATTCCTCGTTGGACCAGTTCAGTTCGCGAGAATCATCGCCTTCATCTTCTTCTTCCGTACCCCTGTCCCCGGCCAGCTCGGCAAATGTACCTCTTTTGCAGAAGACTCGCAGTAAAAGTGTACAGCGTTTGATCAGTTCCAGGTTGACAGATCGTTCTGACGCCAAAACCAATACAAAAAAACAGAAGCGCAACAAACCAGTGAAAACCAGAGGAAATTTGGACTACTTCACATGTGGAACAGTTTTAAAACCGGTGACCTCGCCTACAAACTCTATTGGGCATACAGCACGACGTATGTGGACTGCTTTAGAGAGAAAATTTAGTCAGAGTGGCAGCAGCACCGGTGGCGGCCACAATCAGCATGCCCGAATGCTTCAGAGCAGCTCAGACAACGGATTAGACCAGATTAATGAGCACCAAAGGTCACCGGAAACGTTCGAGCTTTGTGTAAAGAAACGCGATGGAAGGAATACACGCCTGCTGGAAATGTTGGCCAAAGAGGGTATAAATGTGACAGACATTGATGACTATGACCACGGGGATCCTTGTGAACGTTTACTTTCGGTGAGTTCAAGCATTTCAAACTTCATAGCATTTGCCTGTTGGAAAGTCACCATTTGTATTGTATGATACTCAAATTAATGGGGAATTTGGTTTGTCCGTCAAAGCGTATTTGTTAAGCACGTTGTTACTCACGGTCGCTAAAGTTTTGAGAACACTGTACCGATGTTCCATCAGCCATCAAAAGTTCGTGTTTATCGAATCAAGCGGGTTTCAAACACGGGCACGAGGGTATTCTAATCGAAAGTGCGAATCATTTGGCTCTAGGCAGCTTACTACACCTCAACTCCACCTGTAAAGCACTTATCCGATAAACTGTCAATAAGTTTGCTACACCCAGTGTTTGACACCCCGGTGTAATAAGTTTCACCAGTGTGCTACTATAACTGAGCCGTAAGTGTGCATACACTTTGTACGTGCTGGTTTATAAGAAGAAATCTCTAGGATGCAAACTTCCAATCTCTGCTTGTGATCAAGGGTTTTCAATCGATCCAGTGAATGTCATCATTTTCATCATTTTTCCCATAAATGATGGCCAGGTGTATGCTTAAGAATCATTGGAACATTTTTTCGCTTAATGACTGGTTTTCCAAATATTGTCACGAGAACGTGCAAACAATATAGAAAAAGCGTTAACTGAGTACACATAGAATTAATTATTCAATAAGTATTTTATTAACTGATTTCATCATTGGAAAACTGGAAGCGTCAGACTCTGGAACAGAAACAATTTTCTTACTTTGTGGGCATATTCGGTTTCGCATAGCAGAAGACATGTTATGTGTCTTGTGCCAAACAACAAAAGGTATGATCAAGGTGAAATGAACATTTCCAATTGCGAACCCAGTTGGAAGACCAAATTTTACTCTGGAAAATACCCTTAGTTTATTAGAATTATGACGCCTGACACGTTGGAAATCAATAATTCCAGTCTTGGTTTGTTCAATTAAAAAATCTCTTTATCTTTCAGTTGACATACACAGTTGATCTAGTTAAATCATCAGTTCCTCGGACATATATGTCAGTCCCAATAAGTAAACATTTTACTTCCATCATTCAAAACCTCCGTCGGACAGACCTAATGAAGCCCGCTGATTCTACTGGTATATATTGCATATTTTAAGGCAATGATCGATGGCGAATAACTTGATCGTCACCTTAAACTCTGAAACCTAGATAAAATAGCATTGAATCAATGCTGTGTAATGTTTCTGCTCCCGTTTGAAAAATTGAAAGGAAAGTTGGCAACAATGATTACTAATTGCTTATCAGAATAGTACCTTCTGTCTTGATGGACTCTGCGAAAGATTAACGCTCAAATTTATGCTTTGAACGTCAGACGCGGTTTCAATTATTAAGATCTCTGAGAAGCATTTCTATACTCATTATGCATTGCAATTGGAGGGATGCATTTTTAGATAAATTTGTACCTCGTTTTGCTAAAATAGTACTACCGATATAAAGAGCTTATTAGCCACCTATGGTTGATATAAGGCTTGATAAAATATAACGGTCTACTGTAGTCCTTATCTTAATGCTGTCAATAGAACCAAATTCATAGACTTCTAAGCAATCCTTCTTGATTAAATTGGATGAAAGTATTATACAATAAGCCTAGCTGGTCTACACCGTTTCCCGTCAAACTTTAGCCAAATTCCGCATCCCTTTAGCCTCGACCCGTAATTATTTAGCCAAAACCCGAAATGCTTTAGTCAAGACCCGTAGTCCTTTTGCCTCGACGCACAAACTTTAGTCACGCCGCAGTAAGCGAGTCAGATGAAAGCTGTCGGAATATTTGAGTTACATTTAAGATTTCTACTGCTAAAAGTATCGCATGTTATACAGAAACACTGAAACTGTTCAACATGTTTCAAATGGTTTGGAGATAAAGGTACATTGGTTTAATCTGCTCTAATCAATACGTGTTGCGGCGTGCAACCCCCATAACGTATTTCTTAACCAACCTTTGCAACA